CGACGAGGCGCTCTAGTTCAAGACCGGCAATGACGGTGTGATCTGTTGGGTGCTGGTCTACGTCGACGACCTGCTCGCCGCTAGCAGCAGTACCACGATGCTAAAGGAGCTGAAGGAGCTTTTGGAGGCCACCTTCGAGCTGCGTGAGATCTCGCCTGTGGTGAAGTACCTTGGGCTGAAGATCGCGCGCGACAGGCCGGCCAGGAAGCTGTGGCTGCACCATCAGGGCTACGTTGACAAGCTGCGCAGGCACTTCATCGACGAGGAGCAGGGCGGTCGAGTCCCGAAGACGCCGGTCTCGGTCGACGCCTACGCTCAGCTGACGTTCGACGATGAGGAGGCTCAGGAGCATGAGGAGGAGGAGTACCGGCAGAAGGTCGGCTCGCTGCAGTTCGCGGCGACGACGACAAGGCCGGACATCGCGTTCGCCTGCAGCAAGTTGGGGAGTGGCCTCATGGTGAGGAGCGACCAGCATTGGCGCGAGGTCGACCGCTGCCTTGCCTACCTCACCGACACCCGCGACACCGCCCTGGAGTTCGGCAGTGGACCAAAATCGTTGGAGCTGATCGACTACGTCGATGCCGACGACGCGGGCGACAAGCAGAACCGGACGAGCACGGGAGGCTACGTGTTCGTCTACGGTGGGGCCGCCGTCTCCTGGTCGAGCTCGCGCATCAAGTGCGCGACATTGTCATCGACCGAGTCGGAGTACGTGGCAGCCACGGACGCTGGCAAGGAGGGGCGTCGACTTCGCTTTCTCCTTGCGGAATTCAAACTGCTTGACGGTGGGAAGTCGAGCGTCCTCCGCGTCGACAACAAGTCGGCAATCACGCTCGCTGCGGGCTTGGGGCTGACGGGCAACCTCAAGCACATGGAGCAATGCTACGCGTGGCTGCAGCACATGGTGAGGCGCGGGAAATTCGTGCCGGAGTACATCCCGACCACTGAGCAGCCGGCGGACTTCCTGACGAAGGCGCTGCATTTTCCGACTTTCAACCGGTGCTCGGTCGCCATCGGCCAAGTTCGTTTGGCCGACGTTGGCGACGGCGACGACGAGGTGCAGCAGTAGGTGTCGTGTCCTTCTGCATGAAAGGTGCGGTGACGGCGTGCTGTGTGTGGGGTGCACGCTGAGGACGAGTTTTCTCCGTGGAATACTGCCGTGTGGGCTGGAGGCCCAAGCGTGAGCGTGGGAGAGGAGTGTTAACAGGAATGGAGTCTTGGCCCCGCCCTCGCTGGGGCAACGCCGACGACTTGGTCGGATGTACGGGAGTAGCAGCCGACCGTTCACAGTGGGAGAGCTGCTCAACAGGCTACGTCAAGCTGCAGGGGACCGCTGTGGCGTTGCTGTCGACCAGGGAGCTTGACAGCTGCAACTAACTTCCCTGGGCAACGGGTGGGCCGTCCGGAAAGTCGACGGAGCAGTCTGTCGACCTATAGTTCGACGGGGAGGTCTGCGGAGCATCCCGTCGACCTGCACCTTGACGAGGAGGTCCGCGAAGCATCTCGTCTACCTGCAGCTTGATCAGGAGGTCGACGGAGCAGTTCTGGTCAACGGAAGGTGTCTGTCGACCAAGGGGTAGACCAACGGGAGCTGTGGTCGACCAGAGGCACCCGGTGGTCGACCGGAAGCCCCTGGTGGTCGATCGGGTTGACCGGGTAACTTGCTCGACGAGTTCTGCGAAAGCACGCGAACGTCGTCGAAGTTGCGATGGCGAAGGCGACTGCGGGCTGGTATCCTGAAGTCGATGTGGCTCGTCAGGCGCAGACATCAGCCGACGGATGCCCAACGAGGCGAGTCGGGCCAATCGTCTGCACGCACCTGCGAGCGTGCGCACTGCTGTGTTCTACGGGACAACGCTGGACAGCCGCTCTGCTGCAGCGTTGGCACGCCGTCGACCTGCAATATTGGCGGGTCGCCTTTCTGCAGTGCAGGCGCGGCTCCTCTACGCAACGCTGGCGCGCGGTCGACCAAGCTGCGTTGGCGGTCAACCAGGCTAGCTGCAGGGTTGCTAGGTGCCTGATGTAGTCATTCTGTGATTGCTTGTTGAATCATTCAGTAATCCCAACTTTGCTAGTGGAAACTCTTGCCGATTTCTCCCGTGAATGTGCAAGCACAAAGGAACCAAGCAAAATTACGATCACCTCTAGTAGTTCGTGCCTACCCCCGTAGTCTAGCTCACTACCGTTGTAGAGTGACTCTTCGCAATAACTGCATGTAGTTCTAGCTGTATTGTAGTTATTAACTTTGTAGGTGGTGCACCTCTTCACTTGTTTTCTATATGTACCCTCGTGCTATAGTGAACACCACCATTCTCGACACTCCTTGCCACAACTTACTCGACTCCCCTTGGCCTAGGCTACTAAGCCTAGGCCCTCACTTAAAACTAGTCCTCACTTACCTACCTTCTTTGACATGTCCTGGCCTGTGGGCCAGCCTCTCGCTTCCGCTGCTGTTTTTCCGGTCGCGCGCCTCGGGCGCGTGGCGATTTTCGTTCTGTCCCGCGCCCGGGTGGCGCGTGACGTTTTTTCTGCCCGTCGCGGACCCACCCCTCGCGCTCGCGATGGTGCCCTGAGCCGCCGTGGACCCGCCCCTGGCGCCCTCGACGGTGCCCTGAGCCGCTGCGGACCCGCCCGTGGCGCCCGCGACGGTGCCCTGAGCCGCCGCGGACCCGCCCCTGGCGCCCGCGACGGTGCCCTAAGCTGCTGCGGACCCGCCCCTGGCGCTTGCGACGGCGCCCCTACCTCACCCGCGCCTGCCCTCGGAGCAGCCGCCCTTTCCCTACCCGCGTCTGCCCTCGGAGCAGCCGCCCCTGCCTCACCCGCGCCTGCCCTCGGAGCAGCCGCCCCTGCCTCACCCACGCCTGCCCTCGGAGCAGCCGCCCCTGCCTCACCCGCGCCTGCCCTCGGTGCAGCCGCCCCTGCCCTACCTGCGCCTGCCCTCGGTGTAGCCGCCCCTCTCCTTCACGCGCTTGCCCTCAGTGCAGCCGCCCCTGTACTTCACGCGCCCGCCCTCGGTGCAGCCGCCCCTGCCCTTCCCTGCGCGCCGCCCCTCTGTGGCCGTGGGGCGGCTTCTTCCCTGCCACCCACCCACCCCCCCCCCCCCCCCTCCTCCTTCGTCTTCCTGCTGCGCGTGCAGCCTTGGGGGGGAGGGTATGGAGGTGGCGGGTATGGGGGTGATGGGTGTGTGTGATCCCCTTTGCCTCCTCCTCCTTTCTCTCCCACTACTGCAGCTGCCGCTGGGTGGGGGAGGGTGTGAGGGTGTGGGGAGCCGGGGGAGTGTCACTAGGGACGTTGAGGAGTGTGCAGAGGGGGTTTGGGAGCATGGGGGAGGTTCCAGGAAGCAGCCGTCGTGAAGCCAGCAGCCTCACCTGCCGCCTCCCAACTCCTCCTCCTCACTACCCCTCTAGTGCTGCCACTTGTCTTTATTTTGTGAACTTGCATCTGCTCTTGCCTGCTGTTGCTATTTTCTTTGTCTGTGATGTACCCCCGCAGGTTGTGTCTTGCACTTGGCTATTCGTGCATGCAGTTACGGGGGGATGTCAGAATTATGTTGTTATAACTACATGTAGTTCTAGCTGTAGTGTAGTTATTAACTTTGTAGGTGGTACACCTCTTGATTTGTTTGCTATATGTACCCTCGTGCTATAGTGAACACCACCATTCTCGACACTCCTTGCCACAACTTACTCGACTCCCCTTGGCCTAGGCTACTAAGCCTAGGCCCTCACTTAAAACTAGTCCTCACTTACCTACCTTCTTTGACAATCTCTGCATCCATGGATGTCTACCACTGAGAGGAGTACTCACCCGCGATCGTCTCAGCGTAAGAGCACGGGGTCGGGATGTCTGGAGCATTCGGGTCTCCCTCAGGGGCAAGCAGCATGGCCACGAGATGAGGCGCAGCGGCTGCAAGACACTCAAGGTCCTCCTGCATGTCCTCAAGGACGTCCTTGCCAAGAGCACACTCACCCCCGGTGGACGGAGGACAGACAGACTCAGACTCAGCAACAAGATTAGCGGTGTAGTCTAGACGACAGGCAGCAGCAAAGTCAACAAGCTTAGCGACGAAGGAAGACGCAGCAGCAGACTCAAACGACGGGTCAGTGACAATGGTGGCTAGCAGACGTGTGACAGTAGGGTGAGCAGCATGAGCACGGTTAGACTCAAGGTCTGGAACGTCAAGCAGAGAGGACGCAGGAGGGGATGGCAGGGGAACACACTGCGGAGCAAAGGAAGGATGCAGAGCCATGAGGTGTGTGCTGGGGACAGCCGGCGGATGCTCACAAGGAACACGACGACCAGTGCGGACAGTGCGAACAGGCGAGACAGGACGAGACGCAGGCTCACGGCGCTCAGAAAGACCCCCTGTCTGCTCAGTGTAAGGAGAAGGAGCAAGCAGCGGTGAGCCAGGCTGTAAAGGAAGACCAGTAGAAGACGGGAGGCTAAGAACTGTCATAATCCCAGCCACTAGACCATTGGGATAAAAGGGCTTGTTTGTGTAGCGGGTAAGTGCGCCCATAACCCCCCAGGCCAACATGCCTGTAACCCTTTCCTAGGATCAATCGGGGATCACCAATGGACCTCTAACACCCCCCCGCACTGGGATGCCCGAGGTGCACACATCAGGATTCGAACCCAAGACCTTCGCTCTGATAACATGTCAAAATCCCAACCACTAGAACATTGGGATAAAAGGGCTTGTTTCAATAACGGGTCAGTGCGCCCATAACCCCCCAGGCGAACGCACCTGTAACCCTCTCCAGGATCAATCGGGCATCCACAGTGTAGATCTATTGACACCCCCCCACAATGGGAGGCCCAGGACTAAGCAGAGCGGTAACGGCCTACATGTGCATACACCGGGAATCGAACCCGAGACCGCTCTGATACCATGTCATAATCCCAACCACTAGACCATTGGGATAAAAGGGCTTGTTTGTGTAGCGGGTAAGTGTGCCCATAACCCCCCAGGCCAACGTGCCTGTAACCCTTTCCTACGATCAATCGGGGATCACCAGTGGACCTCTGACAAGAACCTGGCGAAGCACGGAGTCAGGCGATGGCAGGGACGAAGGCGACGGCGGAGCGAAGAAAAGTCGCGGCTGTGCAGGGCCACCAGCACCAGTAGCTCTAGTACCTACAGCAGCTCCAGAACCTCCAGCTCCAGCGCCTCCAGCGCCAGCACCTCCACCATCTCCATAACCTCCTGCGCCAGCACCTCTAGTACCAGCACCTCCAGCAGCTCCAGAACCTCCAGCGCCAGCGCCTCCAGTGCCAGCACCTCCACCAGCTCCAGCGCCTCCAGAGCCAGCACCTCCAGTACCAGCACCTCCATCAGCTCCAGAACATCCAGCTACATCACCTCCAAGACCAGTTTCACTAGCAGCAGCACCCCCACAACCGGCACCTCCAGTCCCAGGGCCTCCAGTCTCAGTGTCTCTAACAGCAGCACCCCCAGAACCGGCACCTCCAGCTCCAGGACCTCCAACCTCAGAGTCGACAGCAGCACCTCCAGGTCCAGTAGTACCTCCAGCCCCAGCAGCTCTAGTACCTCCAGTACGAGCACCTCCGGGACCAGCGGCTGCTTGAACCCCAGTAGAAACACCTCCAGTGGCAGAGTCACCAACTCCAGTGCCTCCTGCAGCAGGGCCCCCAGCTCCATCAGCGCGACCCTGACGGCTAACGTACCACTCACGCAGCTGCTGTGGGGAGAGAGGGACAGCGCCAGCTCCAGTGCCTCCAACGCCAGCGCCTCCTGTAGCAGGGCCCCCAGCTCCAGCAGCGCGACCCTGACGGCTAACGTACCACTCACGCAGCTGCTGTGTGGAGAGAGGGACACGCCTACGAGAGCGCTGCGGCGAGGCACCAGCAGAGCGACTACGGAGGCGACCGCTCCAAGGAGTCTGCTCACCAGGCGCCTCAGTGCCCCCAGGCGCAGCACCCCCAGACTCAGCACCCCCAGGCTCAGCACCCCCAGACTCCTCACGCCCAGGCTCAGCACCTCCAGGCTCCGCACCCTCAGGCTCAGCACCCCCAAGCTCCGCAGCCCCAGGCTCAGCACCTCCAGGCTCCGCACCCCCAGTCTCAGCACCCCCAGGCTCCGCACCCCCAGGCTCCGCACCCCCAAGCTCAGCACCCCCATAAGCAGGACCCCGAGCAGGACCACCCCCAGCAGGACCTGAGTCACCAGTGACCTCAACCGGCTCAGTCAAGGGAGGAGGGTCTACCTGAGACACATCTGAAGGAGCAGGACTGGGAGCGGGGAGGGGGTCTAGCTGGGGAGGACCTGGAGCGAGGAAGAGCGGCGGGGGGGGGGGAGAGGGGCAGTGCGGTAGGGAAACAGACAGTAAAAGAGGACCGTCTCATCAAAGGTGACGTCCTGAGACGGAAAGATACGACGCGAGGCAGGGTCGTAAAATTGCCAACCAGGGGCGTCAAGGGGGAAACCAAGGAAGAAATAGGGAATGGCGCGAGGGGAGAGCTTGTCCACAGTGGTATTGCGGACAAAGGCACGAGCATCCCAGACCCGGAACCGCGACGCATCGCCAACCTCCCCCATCTAACGTAGTGAGGGCGAAGTCTCCGGAACGAAGACATGGGGCCAAAGGTTGAGCTGATGCGCGGCGTACGGGACTGCAAACGACCATAAAAAATGGGGGGCAGCCGCATGGATCATGGAGGTACAAGCGACCTCCATGACTAAGCCAATGCAGCCTCAGCAACCCCATTTTGCTGCGGAGAGGCCGGAAGCGTGAACGTCTGGCGGATGCCGTGCTCCTCACAATAGGCTCGCAAGAGGTCAGAGGAGAACTCACCACCTCTGTCAGAGTGCAGACGCAAGACAGGAAAGTCCAACTCGAACCGCTCGCGGAGCTGGAGACGAACAGCGCGGATCCAAGGGATCAAAACAGCAGGGACATCCCCCTTGCGCCGCAAGGGGAAGACCGTGGTGTAACGCGTGTAGTCGTCGACTACCTGCAGGAAGTAACGCTCGTGGCCGTATCCACGGACGCGGGCTGAGCCCCACACGTCGAGGTGGAGAGTCTGCAGTGGAGCCTCTGTGGGAGGGAACAAGGAGGAGTGAGGAGCGGCGCGCTGCCGCCCCTCGACGCAAGGAATGCAGGGCGGCGCAGGTGAGGGAGGGAGGGAGGGCAGAGACTTGGGAAGACCAGAGATCAGTAGGCAAGAGTGCATGCCACCAAGGCGAGGCAAGGAGGGGTGACCAAGGCGGTGGTGCCAAAGGAGAGTCTGGTGCGACAAGCGGCGACACTCACACTGGGTAGCTACCTGAGCGGACGCGTACAACTGAGGAGACAAAGGGGTGTTGTGAGAAGCAGTGGTGAGGGTGTACACACTGGACCGTGCACGTGTGAACGTGGCCAGGTGGCGGCCAGTCCAAGAGCACGTGCAGATCGCCATACGTTGTCCTCTAGGAGTAAAGGTGTCAACCCAATGATCTTGAAGGGCGGTGTTGCTCACAAGGTTCGTAGAGAACAAGGGGAGGTGGAGACCAGACAGCTCACCGGACGGGACCACCAGACACGGAAGCACATTGGTGGACCGTGCTAGCACTAGGCCCCCAGAGGGGTCAGCTAGTGAGACAAGGACAGGTGCAGGGAGGGGAGTGACTGTGGTGCTGTCGCAAAAGAAACAGCGGGAAGCACCGGAGTCAAGTGTAAAGGTCTGCAAGGCCTGAGCGGACGCACTACCAGGGAGAACAGACTCACTAGCATGTAGGGCTGCAGGCTCTATACTTGGGGCTATACCTGGGTCAGGCGGTACACACAAGTAGCAGTCACCCTCAGCACTAACAATCAATGCATACATGGCAGCAAGAATAGCATCATAGTCGAGATCAAAGATGGGAACATCAAGCCTAAGCAGATCTGCCCAAGGGGGAAACTTAGTATGTTACGAACAAGAAGATATTGCACTATGAAAGTTGGAGTACAAGTAGGAAACCCTAAATTTGTGTACCCCCTAAAGGCTAACCCACTATAGCCTACACAATAATAACACATATAGTGTTTGACACACCCCTATAGGCAAAGTGGGGGAGAACAAGGGGTCACAAGACCAGTCAAGAAAGGCAAGCAAGCTCAGGGTGGATCACAACGTCACCACACACTCCGAGCACAAGCAAAGGGCCACAAGGCCAGTTCACATGCAGAAGTATATACAAGTAGTACAGGCAGCAAGGGTGATCTCAACCTAGCAAAGCAAATAGGCAGGAGTATATATACAGATCACAGTACAGGCAAAGCCTACAACAAGTGAGACAAAGTGGGCACTAGCCCCAACAAAGTACAGAAGCGCTGATGATCACCAGGCTGAAGTGCCTTGGTGAAAACATCAGCGGTGTTGGCCTCAGAGGCCACGTAGCGCAGACAAAGCTGACCACGCTGCTGAAGCTCACGAGCAAGGAAGTAACGGAGAGCGATGTGCTTCGTTCTGTGCTCCAGTCTGTGCTCCTGACACAAGGCAATGGCGGCCTTGTTGTCGACGTACAGCACTGGAGGAGAACTAGGCCGCTCTCCAAGGTCGGTCAGCAGGTAGGTGAGCCAGCATAACTCCTGTGCAGCCATGGCTGTGACGTAGATCTCAGCCTCACAACTGGAGCTGAGAACCAAAGACGGACGAGTAGAGCGCCACGAAACTGAACCAGAGCCAAGGCTGAAGGTGTAACCCTGTGACGACCGCTGAGTAGCCTGGTCGTCAGCCCAAGAAGCGTCTGAGTGCCCAGTGAGAACAACTGAGCTCCCTCCTCCAAGCACGAGCCCCATGCCTGATGTACTACACAATTAGCGCAATACCCTCTTTGCAGCATCCCAGTGCACCTTTCGATGACGACCAGGAGCCACGTAACGAGCCACAAGGCCAAGAGGGTATGCTAGGTCAAGATGAGTGCAAGTCATCAGGTACATGAGGCAACCAACTAGCTCTAGGTAAGGACCACTCGACTCTACGGACTCATCCGAAGGCAGAGCTGAGAGCGAGTGACCTATAGCCAGAGGAGTGGCCTGTGCTGAGGACCAGGTGAAGCCAAAGCGCTGAAGGACCTGCTGCACCACGTGTGACTGAGTCAGTGTGATGGTGCGGCGTGCTCTGTCCCGCGTGATCCGCAAGCCAAGGTACCTGCGCAGTTCACCCAGGTTTGTGCACGTGTGTCTCTTCTGCAGCTCCGACTTCATGTGGGCGAGAGACTCAGTGTCAGCTGTGGCAAAGACCAAGTCGTCGACGTACACGAGGATGTAGAACGGCGGAAGTGAAGTGTCGGTGCGTAGAAACAGCGACGGGTCAGCAGTAGAAGGAGAGAACCCAAGTGCCGCAAGAGTAGTCCTCAGTGTGTCGTGCCACTCACGTGGCGCCTGGCGGAGACCGTAGACCGGTCGGCGGAGGATCCACTGGGTACCAGGAGGGAACGACCCAGTGAAGCTAGGAGGGTGGCGTAGCCAGATCTCCTCGTGCAGACTGCCCTGCAAGAAAGCTGTGCTGAAGTCAAGAGAGTGAAGCTCGTTGTCACGATGAGCAGCGACGTGCAGCAGAACCCGAAGAGTGGTCATCTTCGGGGTCGAGGAGAAGGTCTGGAAGAAGTCAACTCCCTCTCGCTGACTGAAGCCTCGAGCAACGTAACGCGCCTTGAAGACAGGCGGAGAACCCGGCGGCCGCTTCACCCTGAAAATCCACATGCCACTGACGATATTCGCCCCACCTAGTCTAGACGACGAGGACAGACAGACTCAGACTCAGCGATGAGACTGGCAGCGTAGTCTAGACGACAGCGAGCAGCAAAGTCGATAAGCTCAGCAACTAGGGCAGACGCAGCAGCAGACTCAAACGAAGGGTCAGTGACAGCAGTGGCAAGGAGACGCGTGACAGTAGGACTGGCAGCACGAAGAAAGTCATACTCAGGGTCAGCAAGAGCAGGAAGAGAGGACTCAGAAGGAGACGGCAGAGGGACACGCTGTGAAGTAGTGGAGGGACGTAGTGACATCCGGTGTGTGCCAGGGACCGATGGCGGACGCTCACGCGGAGGACGACGACTGGTGGAAGTAGTGCGAACAGGGGACTCAGGACGGGACACAGGCGACACAGGGCGAGACTCAGGCTGACGACGCTCTGTGAGACCGCCTGTAGGACTAGTGTAGGGACAAGGACGAGGAAGTGGCGAGGCAGGCGGTAGCTGTGACTGCGACTGGACCGGCGGTGGACACTCTACAGAGGGAGGGGGACAAGGCGGAGGTGACTGACCAAGAACCTGCTGAAGGAGTGGAACAAAGTACGGCCGCAGCCGTGAGGTGCCCCCTGCAGCAGCAGAGACAGCACTAGAACCTCCAGGAGCTCCAGGTGCACCCCCAGCACCTCCAACGTTCAGGTCTGCAGCACCAGCAGCAGCTCCAACGCCCGGATCCGCAGCTCCAGCAGCAGCTCCAACGCCCGGGTCTGCAGCACCAGCAGCAGCTCCAACGCTCGGGTCCGCAGCACCAGCAGCAGCTCTAACTCCAGAGTCCGGAGCACCAGGAGCAGGGTCCGCGACACTAGGAGCGCCACTCCTAAGAGTGCAGCGCCGTGCGTACCACTCACGAAGACTCTGGGGAGAGGGCAGCTCCCGCCTAGGCGAGGAAGCACGAGCACCAGCTCCAGCAGCACCTCTCCTGAGGCTGTAGTACTGTAAGTACCACTCACGCAGCTGCTGTGAGGAGAGAGCTCCTCCAGGCGTAGCACTCCCAGGCTCAGCACCTCCAGTCTCCGCAACCTTAGGCTCCGCAAACTCAGGCTCAGCACCCCGAGCAGGACGAGAGTCTACCGCTACCTCGACAGGCTCAGCCGGGTCTACCTGGGACACACCTGAGGGAGCGGCACCCTGAAGGGGGAGGGGGTCTACCACAGCAGCACCTCGCGCGAGGAAGAGAGGCGGGGGAGGGAGCGGGGCAGTGCGGTAGGGGAAGAGGCGGTAGAAGGGTACCGACTCGTCAAAGGTGACGTCTTGAGAGGCGAGGACACGGCGCAAGGTAGGGTGGTAAAACTGCCAACCAGTCGCGTCCGGAACAAAGCCTAGGAAGACACACGGAATAGCGCGGGAGGAGAGCTTGTCCGCGGACGTATCGCGAACAAAAGCTCGGGATCCCCTGACCCGAAAACGCGACACATCGCCAACCTCTCCCTCCCAACACAGTGTCGGGGAGGTCTCCGGCAAAGAGCCAGGGGGCTAGAGGTTGAGCTGATGCGCAGCGTATCGAGCTGCAAACGGCCACAGAAAGTGGGGGGCAGCCGCATGGATCAAGGAGGTACAAGCGACCTCCATGACCAAGCCAATGCGGCGCTCAGCAACCCCATTCTGTTGTGGCGAGGCCGAAAGCGTGAACGACTGGCGGATGCTGTGCTCCGCACAGTAGGCTGCGAAGAGGTCGGAGAACTCACCACCTCTGTCAAAGTGCAAGCACAGGACAGGAAAGTCCGAGTGGAAACGCTCGCTGAGCTGGAGACGAGAAGCGCGGATCCAAGGGATCAAAACATCAGGGACCTCACCCTTGGTGCGCAAGGGGAAGACCGTGGTGTAGCGCGAGTAGTCGTCAACAACTATCAGGAAGTACCTCTCCTGACCCTGACCACGGACGCGGGCTGGGCCCCACACCTCCATGTGGAGCGTCTGCAAGGGAGCAGTCGTCGAAGGAAACGAGGAGGAGTGAGGAGCGGCGCGCTGCCGCCCCTCGACATAGGGAAGGCAGGGAGGAGCAGGCGAGGCTGGGAGAACCCTGGGAAGACCAGAGACAAGGTACCGTTTGTGCATTGCCCGAAGGCGCTGCTGAGAAGAGTTGAGCAAGAATGAATGAAATATGAATGAAGTGAGTACAAGTACTAACCCTAATTGGGTTGTACCCCTTATGGGCTACCCCACTATAGCCTACACAATATGCAAAAGCTATATGTTCTGACACACCCCCATAGGCAAAGTGGGGGAGAACAAGGGGTCACAAGACCAGTCAAGCAAAGCAAAGCAAAGCAAGCTCAGGGTGGATCACAAAGTCACCACACAGTCCGAGCACTAGGTCAAGGCCACAAGGCCAGTTCACATGCAGGAGTGCACACATATATATAACACTAAACAAGCAAGAGCAGGTATATATATATATATATGCAAGAGTACAAGTAAGATCAAGAGGTGAGCAAGTGAGGTAAGACAGGTACAAGTCCCAGCTGAGTGCAGAAGCGCTGATGATCACAAGGCGGAAGTGCCTTGGTGAAAACATCAGCAGTGTTGGCCTCAGAGGCCACGTACGCAAGTCGCAACTGACCACGCTGCTGCAGCTCACGAGCAAGAAAGTAGCGGAGAGCAATGTGCTTCGTTCTATGCTCCAGGCACTGCTCTAGACACAAGGCCAGCATGGCCTTGTTGTCTACGTACAGCACTGGAGGAG